TCCGAAAAACAGACTCCACTCTCAACGCCAAAAGCCCGAGGCATCGAACAAAAAAAAATTAATTAAATTCTTGTTTTTTTATGCCTTGCGTTTTGGTAACATTCAAAAAATAAGAAATGACAGAAAAAAGGCCAACGAACCAGGAAAAAACCAACTAAGATACCGCTAGGCAGACTAGCATGTCCAGCACTACGCACGCCGGCGTTAGCACTGGTGTGTGCAAATCTCAGATAATTTTCTCTTCACTTATATATATTGTTTGATAATCAAAGCCAGACCTGGCAAACGGGCCGGTATGGGCCGGGTAGTTACGAGTTGCAAGTAAAATGGGCACGGGTCAAAAAATTTCACGGGTCATACCCGTCCGTGTGAGTACAGGTCGATCCGCAAGTCACAGCGTTTATTTTGCTTTTTAAAATTTTTTCTCTCCAATTTTTTATTTTTAAGCTTTTTCTCCTATTTATTTCTTCACTCCCAAGTCTTCGTCTTCTTCTTCCCTCTCTCTCCAATTCTTCTTGTCTTTTTCTCCCTCCCCACTGCATATTTTTTCTTCTTCGGTTCGTTTTCTTCTTCTCCCTCTCTCCAATTCTTCATGTCTTTTTGTCCTTCTCCACTTTTTCACATTTCTTCTTCTTCTAATTCTCTCTAATTCTTCTTCATCTTTTTCTCTCCCTCCCCTTCTTCTCCCTCTCTCTAACTCTTCTACGTCTTTTCTCCCTCTCCCTTTTCTATATTTCTTATTCTTCTTCTCCCTCTCTCCAATTCTTCTACGTTTTTTTCTCCCTCTCCACTTTTTCATATTTCTTCTTCTTCCTCAGTCTTCACCCTTCCAATTCTTCTCTGTTTAATTGAAAAAAGAGATCGAGAGAAATGTGGCGTCAATGTGTGTTGATAGAGATTGAGAAAATGATTTTAGGGTTTTAATTTTTTAATTATTTTTTAAATAAAACTCGGGTACCATGAGCATTATCCAACCCACTCACATTTTTCACGGGTGGTCCGGGTAGGATAAATTTTAGGGATACCCATACCTGCCTATTTGATGCGGGTGCCCGTTGACCCGCGGGTACGGGTACCCCTTTGCTTGTCTAATTAAAGGATTGTTATAAGACTCTTAATTATACAAATAAGTTAAAAGAATTCGACAAAATGTAGATGAAATGCTACATCAAAGAGGACCTCAACTGTGAAGGCAAGGCAATTTCATTATCTACTCTTGTGTCTTGTCATATTGTTTGATCTTGTTATTATTATTATGATTAAGAAATGCCAACCAATATTAATTGTCATCCACAATTTTATTTCTCACTTCCCTACACCTTTAATATTGAGTTTTCTTTTTGGGAGATTGATTGAAAAAAAAAAAAAAAAATTAATGCTAGGAAATAAATAGTAGGACCCTTCACTCAATTATTTCAAAAGAAAAAAATATCTTCGACAAATTGAACAAAATGTTGATGTAAAGTTACCTCAAGAGCTAGCACAATGAAGACAAGTCAAATTATGTAGTCTATGCCACATATTTATTACCATTTTTAAGAAATGCCTATAGATAATTGCCGTCCACAATTTTCATTTCTCACAATGTAAATAAAAAAATATGTATATATAAGAATTAATTATCTAACTCAAGGAGTTCCCTTAGCAATCAAGGAAGTTTGCTCCCTTAAATTTTTAGATTCAAACCTTGAGTTCACCTACTACGATAATATTGTGGTTTATCTAGTCCTTTGATCTTGTTAGATGTTCAATGGTTTCTAAAAAAAAAAAAAAAAAAAAAAGAATTAATTATCAGAGGCAATGTCAGCATTTTGCCAGTAAAATTTTATAATTTTCAATTTAGTAATAGATATTTAGTATGAGTAAACTATTAGTCGACATTGTCGAAAAAAATTCTGTTTTAGAATAACAAAAATCCATAGAAGAGCTCAACTAAATATATAAATGAATTTATTAGCTAGGGTTTGGAGTAATGTTATACTTTTTTTATCTATCATTGAACCATAACTAATAAAAGGAATACAATTTTCCTATAGTACACCTTTTTTTTTTTTGGGGGGGGGGGAAGGGAGGAACCAAGCTAGCACAACAATCCACTACCATGGACAGTTTATGCACGACTCGGCAAACCCCTGCTGGTATGGTGGCCATTTAAATCGAGGATGTTCCGATAGAGAATTGAATTTAAGATCATGTGCATACCTACACTATTCATAATTCACCCTAATCATCTGGACGACAGATAGATAGATAGATGGATTTGCTACTATAAACTTAAGTTAATAAAACACGTTGTTAAGACATTTCTGATGTATTTTTCAATTTGTCTTATTCATTCTCAACCATAGAGAAAGAAGTCTTGGTCAAGATTCATCTGAAACACATTTTGCGCATGTAATTACTGAACAAGGTGTGCACCGACAGTCGCTAGCACCACTCTATTAACTATAAATACCTAAACAAATAAACCCCTCGTATTCAAAGTCCTTGAACACTCAACCTAACTCAAGCTATCAGGTAATCAACCCAACAATGGCATCAAAATTTTCCCACTCTTTCAAAGTAACCCGGCAGGCCCCGGAACTGATCGCTCCCGCAGAGCTGACGCCACAAGAAGTGAAGAAACTTTCAGATATAGATGATCAAGAAGGGTTCAGGTTTCAGGTCCCGGTGATATTCCTGTACAGGAATAATCATCCTTCGCCTGCAAGGGAAGGGCGAGATCCAGTGAAGGTTATCAGAGAAGCACTGAGTAAAGCGCTTGTGTTTTATTACCCTTTGGCTGGAAGGCTGAGGGAAGGGGAAAATCGGAAGCTTCTGGTGGATTGCAATGGCGAAGGGGTTTTGTTCATTGAGGCTGATGCGAATTTCTCACTTGATGAACTTGGTGACCAAATTCATCCGCCATTTCCATGTTTGGATGAGCTTCTGTATAATGTTCCGGGCTCTGACGGCATCCTTGGATGTCCACTGTTGCTTATCCAAGTGAGTTTACAAAGACTTCAAGTCGACTTTTCTCTTCATTTTTTTCATATTAAATACCAACATCCTTAATTTTACAGGTGACTCGTTCGCTATGTGGAGGATTCATACTTGCTCTACGTGTAAACCACACCATGTGCGATGCATACGGCGTAGTCCATTTCCTAAAAGCCATGGAAGAAATGGCACAAGGAAAACCAACACCATCTGTAACCCCAGTATGGCAGCGACACCTCTTGAATGCAAGAAACCCACCACGCATAACATACATCCACCACGAATACGAACAGCTCGACGATTCCAACGACACTCTCCACACCACCAACCCCAACGACCTCGACCACAAATCCTTCTTCTTCGGCCCTGAAGAGATCTCCTCCCTCCGAAACCACCTTCCTCCCCGCCTCAAAAACAGTTCCACATTCGAAATAACAATAGCTTGCATATGGAGATGTCGAACGGCTGCTCTTCAACTCGACCATAACCAGACCGTTCGGTTTTCTTGCATAACGAGCGTCCGAAACAAGAGCAGTGGAATTCCTCTTCCTCAGGGCTATTACGGGAATGCGTTTGGATACCCCGCCGCGTGTGCGAAGGCGGGGAGTTTGTGTGGCAGTGGACTGGGGTATGCAGTGGAGTTGGTGAAGAGGGCGAAGGCGCAGATGAGCGGAGAGTATTTGAGGTCGGTGGCGGATTTTATGGTGATGAAGGGGCGGCCCCGGTACACAAATGTGGAGAACTTCATCGTTTCGAATTTGACGAATTCGGGGTTTACAGAGGTTGACTTTGGATGGGGGAAGCCGGTGTATGGTGGGACGGCGGGAGCTATGTCGTTGATTAGTTTTTGCATGAAGTTTCAAAGAAAGGATGGGAAGAATGGGATTCTGATTCCGATAAGCTTGCCGAAATCAAGTATGGTGAGGTTTCAAAAAGAGGTGAAGAAGATGACCGCTCAAGGAGCATCAATGGAGGATTTGTCTGAAATGAAACAGAGTGAGAAGTTATTATGTAAGCTTTAATTAAGTTTGATTTAGTTAGTTCCAAGATATTAGAATATTATAGATTATTGTGGGAAAATCAAAACTTTCTTTGTTGTGTGGTAAGGATTTAGAATGTCGTGTAGATTTATTTTAATTGGTTCTATTTATTTTTATTTTTGTTATAAGCTTTCACTGACACCAAATGGTCCCCAAATTAAAAGCTTACACTGAGACCCCTTTGACCTTAATCCGTCAAATTGACATTAAAATTAAATGGGTACAGTATCATATGTTGTTCAATCTTTTAAAATTACAAAAGAGAATTAAAAATTAAACTCAAAAATAAAATAATGGAGTTAGGGCAAAGTTATATCAATGATATGGTTTTAAACAAAAATAAAATTGTGAGGGGGTAAATATGATAAAAACTTGACAAAGTTACCATTCAAATTATATGTTTTTAAAATTGTAACAAATACTAAAGAAAATAAATCTTACAACTTTTGATACGAAAATATTTAAGTAAGGTTATGTATTTTAACAATTATCAATGCTAATAAAGCGTAAGATTCTAATTTCCGATTGTTAAATCTCAAAAGACCCGACGATTTTCGGAAAACAATTAAATGGGTATGCACTTCCCTATTAATATACAATGGCAGATGCTTTCACAAGCTTCAACTCGTGTTTTACCAGGTAAAAGAAGAACTCAGCATTATGCATTTTTTGCTTTATGAATTTACATGGAACCCTAATAGGAATTTACATTTCTCACCCTCAACTCCCCCCACCGCACAAGGATCAAATACGGAAAAAATGTTTAAAAAAAAAAAAAAAAAATTCGAGGGGAAAAATAAAAAAAAGCACAATCAAACCCTTCTTCAACTCTCACTGTTTTTATACCAATCTTGCTTCCACCTACCCATTTTATAACAGATGGAAAGCAAACCTAATTTGATCAATATGAACCCCCTATAAATGGTGTCGAAATCAAGAACATCACCATTACATTTACAGACGATTTTATAAGATGGTGTGTTAATGAGCCAAGTCCTCGCTCCCGATGCCTACACTTGACTTGTCAATCATTCGTACATTGTATCGTTCGCATACTCTAGGCCTGTTCTCTGCCCACCACTGCTCCACTTGTTTCTCACTAAAACGCTTCCGACTGCATTAACATTATACTGTTACAGTCAAGGGTGCCTAGCAAAGTAGGAAAATTGAACCTTTTTTTAACATAAGAGAAATGAGTGTTGCATGAAGCGAACTCACTTTAGATCCTTGAAGCCACCAGGGAGGGAGGTAAGTGTTATATATACACCAGGTTCATCTTGCTCCACCCATTCATTATCATTAAGTGATTCACCTTCTTTCGTCCTATTCCCATTTCGTGTTGCTGCTTCCAAATGTCCCTGTTTGGTATGACCTGAACTGCGAGTACTGGCAGTGCCAGACCCATTAGAAAGCAACTGATTGTTTGATCCATTGGACTCCGGTTCTGGAAATGTTGTTTGAACAGTCAGCCGGTCAAGTGAAACATTAGGTATATCATTGGAAGCAGGACTGGAACCAAAAGAAGTGAAGGTAGGTAACTTGATGCTCCGTACTGCTCCCACGGGAAGCCTCTCAGCCATATCCTTTAACTATTCATCATAAGAAAGAAATGTTATGGTCAATACAGAGGAATCGAGGAAAGCACAAGTAAACTCAGTTAACCGATGAATCCATATCACAGAAACAAAGAATTGAGTATCATGGCATTTTAAAACATGTTTGCAATTGAATATTGTGTGCCAGCTATTGACGCAGCTGGAGGTGCTAAAAACACCATAATAAATATGTACTGAAATCACCTTCAGTAAAACTCAAAAAAGGGATACTCTTATCAAACCGACACAGTATCCCCATTAAAAGACATTGGTTTATTGCACAGGGATATGAGTCAACAAGTTGCAGAATCAGAGAATGATGACCTTGCAGAAGACAAAAACCCTTTGAAAGTACAAATCAAGCCATAAGAGGGTTTACAACCTAGGATAAGTGGCTTCTACCGCTATTAATTTCCTTCTAAGCATAAATATAGCTTAAATACTTTTTTGCAGAACAAAGCAGTTACACATGCATCCAGGAAGCAATCAAACTTCATGAAACAATTTAACTACCGAACCAATTCCAAGTAAGATAGAAAATAAATAAAGAACACAAAATTTCAGCATATAGAGTCCCCAAAGAGTGATTTTAATTCCCTGCCACTTCCAAACAACAGGGTAATTGTTACTTTATGTAAATAGACATCCCTCTTACTTGGGCAGTCAGAGACTTGATAACTTCCTTTGCTGCTTTGCATTTTGCAGTCTCTTCCCCTGCAATTGCTATTGCCTCCTTCAGCTGTTTAGTTGTCCTTTCCAGCTCAACTTCTTGAAGCTGCGCTTTGCGAATAAGATTCTCCACCTGAGGGAAAATATCATTAGTTGTCAAGCAAAAATAAAAAGACATATGGGCAAGAATATAACTTGTAGACTTAGAGCCCAAATACAGCTTTTAGGCCAAAGATAAAGCTTAAAGATCCCTCCGAAATGCTAATGGCTAAATTGAAGGTATTAAATAGTACTTGCTTCAACCATAAAATTTGGCATTAAAAAAATCATCAAGAAATTAGTTAATATAAAATAGAAGGGAAAAAAAAAGATCTCTACCCAAACATGATAGTTCCCCAACTCTCTGTCAATTTTAAACAGCTAATATCTAGCTCACAATCTATTTTTAAGACTAAAAATAACCCAAGTTAAACTGAATAGTGGACTAAAGCATCCCAAACCTGACACCAAAGCATTTCAAACAGTAAAAATGATTTGAAAAGTGATATATAATTTGTAAAAGGAAGCACATACACTTTCATTCACATAAATACCACCCTATGTATTTATATGAATGCACCATTTCCATTGGAATGATTTACGCTTCACCAAGTTTACCCCCACAGAGATGATATCAACTATTAAATTTTAAAGAATGTAACTGATGAACACCCGACCTGCCAATCCACCAACAGTCCAACAATCTATCCCCAACACAGCCAACACACACACTCAATGACAAAATATCCTGTTATATTACCAATCAAACAGTACATTACATCCAGATAGTATTCACTCAGTAGCCATGTCCTAGTAGTACTCAAATGGCATATGACAGAAATAAAATAACAAGTACATAAAGGAAAAAATGGTAAATGCACGACTGACTTCGAGGGTCAGCAGCCTCCACAATCACTGACTTCGAGGGTCAACAACCTCCCTTCCTAAATGACTGAAATCTTCTCTATATCTCTCTCTCTCTCGCATCTTGCCCTTTTTATTCTCTCCTAACACCTTTGATTTCTAACAGAATTCTTCTCTCCCCTCCTCACAAGCCACCTGTCCTTCTTATAACAAACTCTAACCTCCTGCTTAACCAATATTCCCCTGCTTCTTCCCTCTCTTCTTCCTATGGTAGACCACACCCTTTGGTTGCTCATCATTACCCTCCCCAAGGAGAGCCACCTTGTCCTCAAGGTGGAAAGAAGGAAACTGACATTGGATGGTTGCAAAGTCTTCCCAAGTGTTTTCAAACAGGGGAAGGCCTTTCCATTGAATGAACACTTCCCACTGTCCATTAAGGAGTTTTCTAGTTTTGAGTACAGCTTCCGGTTCAAGTTGTAGAATAAGATCTTCATTGAGGGCAGCTGGTAGTGATTGACTATTGGGAATTGGAAAAGTAGCCTTTTTCAATTGTGAAACATGAAAGACATTGTGAATACGAGCTGAAGGTGGAAGTGCCAGCCGGTAAGCCACTGCCCCAATTCTGTCCGTGATGACAAATGGACCGTAAAACCGCGGGCTAAGTTTCTCATTAAGTCGACAAGCGAGAGATTTCAATCTGTATGGCCGCAGTTTTAAATAAACAGAGTCCCCAGCTGCAAACGTGACTTCCCGGCGATGGTGATCAGCATAAGACTTAATGCGGTGTTGAGCTTTGAGGAGATGCTCTTTTAACTCATCTAAAATACAGTTACGTTGCTGGAGTTGCTGGTCCACTTCTTCGACAGAAGAGGTGTGGTCTGAATAGGGCAAAACTGTGGGCGGATCATGGCCATAGAGCGCCTTAAAAGGACACATTCCGGTGAAGCGGTTATAAGTAGTGTTGAACCAAAATTATGCCCATGGAATCCACTTGGGCCATAACTGTGGCTGTCCACTTACAAAGCATCTGAGATACGTTTCTAGGCCACGGTTTACTACCTCTGTCTAACCATCCGTCTGCGGATGGTATGCGGAACTCATATGTAATTGGGTACCAGATTGTTTAAATAATTTGCTCCAAAAATGACTCATGAAAACTCTATCTCGATCGGAAACAATGGTGCGGAGAAACCCGTGCAAGCGGACCACCTCTTTTATCAACAGGTCCGCTACCACTTTGGCCATGTACGGATGCTTGAGAGGTAAAAAATGGCTATATTTAGTCAACCGATCCACCACCACCAGAATTGTATCAACCCCTTTTGCTTTAGGAAGGCCCATGATAAAGTCCATAGAAATGTCTTCCCACACTTGGTGAGGAATTGGTAACGGCTGAAGCAACCCCGCTGGACTCATGGCGTCATATTTATTCTGTTGGCAAACAGGACAGGCAGCCACAAATGCTTTGATGTCATGTTTCATCCCCTCCCAAAACACCACATTTGTGAGACGCTTATACGTCTGAAAGAACCCCGAATGGCCCCCAATGAGCGATGCATGAAATTCCTGTAAAATTTTCTGGGTGTGAGGCCCGGATTTAGGAAGCACCAACCGATTATGGTACAACAAATGGCGACCCACAATCTGTAAGGATGATGACTGTCGGGGTTGATTAGGAGTTGTTGCATGATCGCACGTAATCGATCATCACTCTAAATAGCATCTTCCAAACTGTCCAGGACAGCAAAACAACCCACTGAAATAGCCTGAAGGTCAACCACGTCTGGCATCCTAGAAAGAGCATCTGCGGCTCGGTTCTGAGGTCCTGGTTTGTACTGAATTGTGAAGTCTAATCCCAGCAACTTGATAACCCATTTTTGTTGATTCTCACTTAGTAATTTCTGATCAGTTAAAAAATGAAGACTGCGTTGATCCGTTCTAATAACAAAACGTCTGCCCAACAAGTAATGGCGCCACTTTTGCACAGCCAGAACCACTGCCATTAATTCCCTTTCGTAAACTGACTTCAGCTTTGAATTGAGGGACAAACCTTTGCTGAGAAAGGCAATCGGTCGACTTTCTTGCATTAGCACTGCACCTAAGCCACTACCCGAAGCATCGGTTTCTATGACAAACTCTTGAGCGAAGTTAGGCATCCTGAGAACTGGAACACTGGTCATGATCTGTTTGAGTTCGTCAAAAACCCCTTGAGCTGCTGCATTCCACACAAATGAGTCATTTTTTAACAAGGCAGTGAGTGGAAGGGCAATTTTGCTGTAATCGCGAACAAATCGGCGATAGTATCCTGTCAATCCCAGAAATCCTCTTAGTGCCCTGATGTCTCTCGGTGCTGGCCATTTGATAATGCTCTCGATCTTTGAAGGGTCAACGGACACCCCTTCAGCCGAAACCATGTGCCCCAAATATTCCAAATGTGACTGCCCAAAGTTACACTTCTTTTTATTAACCACCAACTGATTGTCCAAGAGCACTTGCAAGGTAATGCGTAGATGCTTCGCATGCTCGTCCATCTCCTTACTATAAATTAATATATCGTCAAAGAAAACCAGCAAAAATTTTCTTAGATAAGGTTTGAAAACGTCATTCATGACTGCCTGGAAGGTAGCTGGTGCATTGGTGAGGCCGAAGGGCATTACCACAAACTCATAGTGCCCTTCGTGCATCTGGAAGGCTGTCTTAAGGGTGTCCTCTGGTCTCACTCGGATTTGTTGATAGCCTGATTTTAAATCCAACTTAGAAAATACCGTCGCTCCGTCTACCTCATTAAATAATTCGTCGATGGCTGCAATCGGAAACTTATCCGGAACTGTCACCTTGTTAACTACCCTGTAATCAACACAGAATCTCCCCCCCCCCCCCCCCCCCCCCCCCCCAATCTTTTTCTTCACTAACAAAACTGGACTTGAGAAGGGACTGATGCTGGGTTTTTTATTTCCGAGGCTAGCATTTCCTTGACGATACGCTCATTTTCATTCTTCTGGTAGTAAGGGTACCTGTAAGGTCATAGATTTGGTGGTTGCGACCCCGGCACTAACTGAATGCGTGGTCTCTAGTTCTGGCGGGTGGTAATCTTGGAAGTGGATCAAAAACTGTACTAAATTTCTACAAAACTTCCAATAACCGATCATCAATCTCCTCACTGTTATCACTCTGTTTCTGAATCTGTCCAAACTCAACCAAACACCCATGTCCTTCACTCTGCAATGCCTTGATCTTAGCTTTAAGTGAAACCATGGTTTTGCTGAGAGATAGGTCTCCGCGCAAATACACAATCCGGTCTCCGAGTTTGAACTTCATGGTTTGCTCTCTCCAGTCCGTGGTCGTTTCACCCAAAGTTTCCAGCCATGCAATTCCCAGAACAAAGTCCGCACTGCTCATATCAAATGGGAAGAAATTTTGGATAATCATCACCCCTTGTAGCTCCATGCAAACATCCTTACATTCTCCCTCACATCTCACACTATACCCATCACCCACTCTAACCCCAAAGGACTGAGTTTTCATCACAGAAATACCCAAACACTCCATTACCTTTGAGCTAATGAAATTATGGGAAGCCCCACTATCAATTAACACAATCAGCTCCTTACCACAGATTCTGCCCTTAAGCTTCATGGTCTTTGGACTGTGAATCCCCATTACTGAGCTAAGAGAAAGCTCAACCTGTTCCTGCGGTGGCTCCCTTTCAGATTCGATAAACTCTCCTCCACCATTTGGGTCTGGATCATCCTCTTCCTCATCGATTAAAATAACCTGAAACTGCTTTTCCCCATATTTGTGACCCAATGAAAACTTACCATCACATCTGAAGCAAAGACCCTTCTCTTTTTTCTTCTGGATTTCTGCGTCAGTCATTCGGCGGAATGGAAAATCACGTCATTGGAAGTTGGGTCTGTCGTAGGGTCAAAAGGCTGTCGGTGGTTGGTGGAAGTTGGGTCTGTCATAGGGTCGAAAGGCTGTCGGTGGTTGATCGTGACTGGAAGAGTTGGTCGACGAGCCATGAGTTAAAGATTCTGGCGATCGTCGTTGGAAGAAAGTGTTAGGATTTGATTTTAGGGATTCTGCGCTATTTGGGAATTTTGGGTTTGGGTGAAAATCGGTTCGGGTCAAGGTTCTTGATCCATAGGGATATCCCAGCCCATTAACACGTGCATGTTTAATTACTCCCACTTGGGCTTCTTCAATCACATTATTTCTCTCCTCTATGCGTTGGGCCAGCTCAATTATTTGAGTTAGAGATGTGGGCTAGGCCAAACGAACTTCAGCTCTTATCTCCAATTTCAGCCCATTGATAAAAGCTGCCTGTAAAATTTCCTCTTTCTCCCCTACCAAGAGTGCAGCGACGGCTTCAAACTGACGTCTAAACTCCATTACTGACCCAGTTTGCTTCATGGCCATTAATGACTCATATGGGTTGAGTTCCTGAGATCCACTAAACCTTTGAAGAAGTGCAAGCTTAAACATGGCCCACGACGTCGCCAGAGTTCGGGATTCCGTCCACTGAAACCAATTAATGGCTTCACCCTCCATACAAACTGCTGCCGCTGTTAATCTCCCTTCTTCAGTTATTCCGTTGAGGTGAAAGTAGCGCTCAACTCTAAAGATCCATCCATAAGGATCTTCGCCAGAAAATATTGGCATCTCTAACTTTCTCCCACTCATTTCACTGTGACTTTGGCTGCTGGTGCCAGACCCACTCGCCCCATTTGAATTTTCATCATGGTGAGATCGGACATGTTCAGACGATCGTATCTCATTTCTACCAACTTCTTCTTCATCCTTCCTTCGTACCCAGGACTGTAATTCCACCAGGCACTCTCGGATGGTACCCATCTTAACTCCCAACTTCGTAACCTCTTTTTCCATATTATCTAGTCTAGAGTCCATTCTTGTCACAACCATAACCCAGAACGCAAGGCTCTGATACCAACTGATGAACACCCGACCTGCAAATCCACCAACAGTCCAACAATCTATCCACAACACAGCCAACACACACACTCAATGACAAAATATCCTGTTATATTACCAATCAAACAGTACATTACATCCAGATAGTATTGACTCAGTAGCCATGTCCTAGTAGTACTCAAATGGCATATGACAGAAATAAAATAACAAGTACATAAAGGAAAAAATGGTAAATGCACGACTGACTTCGAGGGTCAGCAGCCTCCACAATCACTGACTTCGAGGGTCAACAACCTCCCTTCCTAAATGACTGAAATCTTCTCTATATATCTCTCTCTCTCTCATCTTGCCCTTTTTATTCTCTCCTGACGCCTTTGATTTCTAACAGAATTCTTCTCTCCCCTCCTCACAAGCCACCTTTCCTTCTTATAACAAACTCTAACCTCCTGCTTAACCAATATTCCCCTGCTTCTTCCCTCTCTTCTTCCTATGGTAGACCACACCCTTTGGTTGCTCATCAGTAACCAACCAAAATTTTATTTTAAATTCCATCATTAATACTGGCTAACGAATCCATTTTCACAAGTTATTGTTGCAGATGTCAAGCAAATGTGTACAAATTGAGTCATTGACAACTAAAATGCAAAGTAGAATAAGCCAGCCCTTCTGCTAATCATTCTACCAACTTGTTACATTGCCTCTCCACTTCAGTATAGAGGGCGGATAGAAGGGAACAAATAAAAACATTCAAATCTTGATACTTACAACACTAATGTCCACAATCTCTAGATATAACTCCAAAATTTCCATGATCTAGATCTCATCATGGAAATAAAATTTTGATTAAAGTAAAATTATTCAAATGAAAGGACAGAAAGAGAATGATAGTAACTAAGTCAGATTTAAGAATCTTCCATAATCAAAGCAAATGAAGAAAATAAACACTTTTCAAGCCAGACTATAGAAAGGAAGTTCTCCAATAAAATTCTACTAGCGGTATTCTTCATAAATATCAAAATCAATAAGTAGATGCAGAATTAGAGAAAATTATATACCTGATCTCTTAATTTAATAACCTCTTGGCTAAGGCTATCATTGGTCCTTTTTGCATCATCCACAACAATCTTTGGGGAGGTAAGTCCTCCCAGTGTTGGCGTTGGAGTTGTTGAACGAGGTGGGCTGGGCCGTCTTGATATTGGCGATGTTGCTCGAGAAACAATTCTTGACCCAGGAACATAAGCCGAGAAAAACCTCTTGGATGACCCAAACATTGGATTGAAAGATTTTGAGATATTAAGCGCTCCCCATTGGGAGCTTCCATTTGGAACAGGAGAGACACGACTGCTATTGAATTCTAGTTTCTTGTTTCTCTTAGATCGGCTTTCTGCTTGCTTGAAAGATTCCATTGAAGAAAACCTTGCCAGTTGTGCACGAGACCTAGAATCCAACTTCTCATCTTTATCAATAAATTCATTAGGACCCTGATTGATGCTTCCTCTTCTACTTACAGAGGACTAGGATGAAGCATCAGTTTCAATGGCATTCTATGTATTTTTCAATTTGCCTTATTCATTCTCAACCATAGAGAAAGAAGTCTTGGTCAAGATTTATTTGTGATAATTATTTGTATAAAAAATATAAAGGATTTGGGATACTCCTTGTTTTGAGTGTTAGAGAAGCAGTTGAAAATACTAGAGTTGGTTTATCGACGAAGAGAAGACTGAATTGAAGTGAAGATTTTTGGGAAAGCGGCCAAAGTGTGTATGTTGCGGTCTATAGTGGAGAACTTGATGAGATTTTATGATGGAAGCTATTTAATATTATTGTTAACTTAGTTGATACATGAGTAAGGTAACTTATTTATAGTTTGCAAAGTTGATGGTTTCAACCAACCTAAATCGGCCTACCTATTCTATAGCTCTCCTTAATTTTCTACATTTTTTTAATTCCTAATTATTTCATTTACTTTATTATTATTATTTTTCAAAACAATAACACTACGGACACCGAAAAAGTTACACTGAAATTCTGTACCAGCCTACGTATAATGCACGTCTGAATTTTTTTATAATTTTTTTCTAGTGAATGGCTGTCCATCACATTTGGACGGCCGTTCACTCACATGGACGTCCGTCCATATACAAGGGACGGGTGTCCCCATTTAAAGGACGCCCGTCTCTGATTAAAATACAATTAAAAAATTCGTAAAACATTAGGGACGACCGTCCATGTATTATGGACGGCCGTCCATTATTTCTGGACGGGCGGCCACAAATAATGGACGCCCGTCCTTCACTCAAATATGAAAAAAAAAAAAAAAAATTTTGGGGACGGCCGTCCATAAATTTTGGATGACCGTCCCTTACGTTTGGACGGGCATCCATTCCATCCCTTACATTTGGACGGGCGTCCATTCGTCCATACTTTTAATAAAAAAAAAAAAATTATAAACAAAAACCCATTCTTCTTCTTCTTCGTCTTCATTCCTCCTCTCTTTTTCTTCGTCTCAAGTTGCCATGCTGATGCAAACGAGAAATCCAAGTGCCCAGACAACTGATTGACGGTCTGTGAAAATTACAAATATAAATCAGTAAATGCTTTTATTTCTATTTGCAGGTTCTAGACATACATGCACCAGTAGACACCAAGTCATTTTTTTTAATCAGCTTCCAGAAAAATAAATTAAAAAAGGAAGCGAAAAAGATATATGGACAACAGTATAGATAATTACCTTTCCAGTATTAGAATCCACCAACATACCCTCTGGGTTGTCTCCAACAATTATTAGAAGTTTACCATTAGGACTCAGCGAAGTATGCTGCAAAAGCACAAAATAAAAAAAAATAAAAAATTCAATTGAAAGCTTCAGCCTGCAAGTGCTTCATATATTGCCCAGAGAAAATTTACAATTATTAGAAGTTTACCATCAGGTTTTGTGCTTCATTTTCTGGGCATACAGGAAAGCAAGCACAAAACCTGATGGTAAACTTCTAATAATTGTAAATTTTCTCTGGGCAATATATAGTTGGTTGCAAAAGGTTTTGTTATGCCTTGTACACCTAAACATAATGGGATGACTGAGAGTCATAGTTGCACTATTAAAGATATGATGAAATATAGTTGCACTTGGATTTCTCGTTTGCATCAGCATGGCAACTTGAGACGAAGAAAAAGAGAGGAGGAATGAAGACGAAGAAGAAGAAGAATGGGTTTTGTTTATAATTTTTTTTTTTTATTAAAAGTATGGACGAATGGACACCCGTCCAAATGTAAGGGACGGTCGTCCAAAATTTATGGACTGCCGTCCCCAAAGTTTTTTTTTTTTTTTTTCATATTTGAGTGAAGGACGGGCATCCATTATTTGTGGGCGCCCGTCCAAAAGTAATGGACGGCCGTCCCTAATGTTTTACAAATTTTTTAATTGTATTTTAATCAGGGACGGGCGTCCTTTAAATGGGGAGCCCGTCCCTTGTATATGGATGCCCATCCATATAATATGGACGGGCGTCCATGTGAGTGAACGGCTGTCCAAATGTGATGGACGGCTGTTCACTAGAAAAAAAATTGTAAAAAAATTCAGACGCGCATTACACGCAGGCCGGTACATAATTTTGGTGTAACTTTTTTGGTGTCCGTAGTGTTATTGTTTTCAAAATATCTTAATTGTTAAGATTTTTGTCCTAAGTTATCACAGATTGCAGATCTAGGGCTAACAAATCAACTGTGTAACAAGATGAAAAATCACAGATTCTGTTCCCTAGGTAACAACCAATCGTTCCAAACCACAAAGTGACCACAGATTAAAGCAGTGAATCATCAAGCATTAATCAAACAGCATATCAAGCAAAAATAAAATAAAGATCAACACAAGAATTTATAGTGGTTCTGCTGGGTAGCCTACATCCACTCTTCAAGGCGCAAATAGGATATCATTACTATCACAGTCAAGGAGACAATTTACAGGGTATTTAACAAAGAAAAAAACAGATTGAGCAAAGAAGAATACAACCCAAAGAAACCCTAGCTTTCTTCCCTTTTCCCCTTGCTACCAATCCATATCAAATGGAATCAATTTATACATCAGCCACCTTCCAGGATCAGCCTCCACTTGGTACCTCAAGAAGATCCAGCCGTAGACAAGCAACAAATTTCGTCTTCCATTAGAACATTCTAGAACAAGACAGTTAGAGAGGAGAAATCTGTGCAAAAGAAGAGGGTTGGATTGAATGAGTAGACAAAGTCATTTTAGCTCATCTTAAAACGATGACGCTTGGACCCCTTTGACTCTCCCAATTTTTTAATTGACTCCACCATGGCACAAACACAAGCCACATGATCACAATTCTCCACCTTGGCTTTTGTTTTGACACCCTATTTGGCCTTAGAAAATAGGCTTCTGCTCAGGTAACACTAAGAAGGCTCATACAGAGCCTTTGTTTGTCACCAGTGACAGGTTTTGTAAGCATATCTGCTGGGTTGTTAGAACCATCCACCTTTTCAACCTTAATTTCAACTTTATCAATCATCTCTCTAATGAAGTGGAGTCGAACATTAATGTATTTAGTCCGTTCGTGAGATACTTGATTTTTACAAAGATGTATGGCACTTTGACTATTGTTGTAAACTGTTACAGCCCTCTGTTGTAAACCTAACTCAGTCACAAAACCCTTCAGCCACTTTGCTTCTTTTGCTACCTCTGTTAGTGCCACATACTCAGATTCAATTGAAGATAATGTAACCATGTGTTGGAGTTTAGACTTCCAACTAACAATGTTTCCCCATACTGTAAAGACAAAACCTGAAGTTGATTTCCTTCTATCAACATCACCAGCATAGTCTGCATCAACAAATCCTTCAACATAGTTGTTTTCTTTATGATTCCTCCTATACACTATACCTACTGAACTAGTCCCCTTTATGTACCTCAAGATCCATTTTAATGCAGACCAATGGATTTTCCCTGGATTACTCGTGAATTTGCTCACAATGCTTACTGAATAGGCCAAGTCAGATCTTGAACATATCATCAAATACATTAGACTACCCAACACATTAGCATAAGGGACTGATGACATCTCAAGTTTTTCCTCTTCAATTTGGGGACTTTGATCTTGAGACAGCTTAAAATGCTGATCAAGGGCAGTTTGGACAGCCTTTGCATCCTTCATATTGAACTTCTGCAGGATCTTTTCAGCATAATCTTCCTGAACCAGGTTTAAACTTTCATGAACTCTGTCTCTAATGATTGATATCCCAAGAATCTTTTGAGCCTGACCCAGCTCTTTCATCTCAAATTTGGTGTTAAGAATCTTTTTCAACCGAGACAATTCAGATTGTTCATGACAAGCCACAAGCATATCATCCACTTACAATAGAAGGAAAATCTAAGTCAGTTCAGAAACTCTTTTTAAATAGAAACAACTATCATAATTACATCTATTAAAACCTATCTCAATCATGAATGAATCAAACTTTTTATACCACTGTCGTGGTGACTGTTTTAGACCATACAAGGATTTTTTAAGTAAACAAACTTTACCTATAACATTTTTGTGTCCTTTTGGCTGCTCCATCAGAATGGTTTCTTCCAAATCTCCATGTAAGAAAGCTATCTTCACGTCCAATTGTTCCAATTCTAGATTAAATTGGACAACAAGTGACAGCAGAATTCTGATTGAGGAATGCTTGACAACTGGGGAAAAAATCTCATTGTAATCTATGCCTTCCACTTGTGTGAACCCTTTTGCAACTAGCCTTGCCTTATACCTGGTGGTTTAGTTGGGTTTAAACCTGATTTTCTTTTAAAAAAATCCATTTACACTTGACCACTCTACAATTTCTTGGCTTATCTACTAAAATCCAGGTTTCATTCTTTATCAGGGAAGAAAACTCTTCTTCAATTGCTTTAAGCCATTGCAATTTTTCTGGTCCTGACACAGCCTCTTGAAAAGACTTGGGTTCATCACTCATATCATCTTCAACTTGTAAAGCATAAGCCACCAGATCAGCATACCCTAATCTTCTGCTTGGAGGTTTGATCACCCTTCTAACTTTATCTCTAGATGGTAATTAGACAACCCTAATTCATTACCATGGTTCATCTGCTCACCTTCAAGTTCACCAGTTTGATCACCCACAAAATTTTCAGAATTGTTTTCTTCAGCTTGAATCTCATCAGCTCCACCTTGATTCACAGTTTGATCATCTTTTGGGTTTTGAAGTTCTAGTTCTAAGAAATCTGATCTTGATGGACTGCCCTCTAAATTTTCAGAATCATCTCCAAGGCCAGGTAGGATTTCTTCTCTAAAAACAACATCTCTGCTGATGATACATTTCTTAGACTCTAAGTTCCAGAGTTTATAGCCCTTTACCCCATCTGAATAACCTAAGAAGATACATTTAATGG